AATTTTTAGTTGAGCCATGAGTACTATGACAGATGTTCCTGTCAATATTGCTGAAGGCTTTATTCCTTTAAACTCTGCCTAAGTATCATTTCATCTCTAAATTTTTTTCTTAAGGAGTCGCTCCACATTTATTCTTTACGGTCATTCACGAAAATTAGGAAATAGTCCTAAAATTATAAGTGTTGCGCTATTTTTAATTTAAATTTTATAAATACGGTACGTTTATACACTTCTAACATATTTCAGCCAGTATAATGTTAACAAAGTAATGTTTTATGTAAGTATAAATACCATCTTGTAGAGATCAGTTGGCAAGAACTAACCTTTAAATTCATTTCACATCAGAAGCTTACTCAAACCTGTTAAGGACGTTTAAAACGGCAGAAGGATTTCTATACTCAAATATCATAACAATTGCACGTTTGACCAAAAAAAAACATGGACGATCGACAGGTAAACTTTCATTTTCTCTATTACTTGAAATAATTTATCATTTCTTTATTTATATTTTTCTAAATTCATAATGTTTTAACTTTGTGAAATAGATATTGAACATAAATTTACTTTTAAACATGTATAAAAATTATATGAAATAATGTGCACACTAAAAATTTATTTAGTGATATAAAATTGAAGATGGAAGATTTATGTTAACGATCTTAAAATGTAATTATATTCGTCTGTGTTACTTCAGAATGAAATGCAACACGCAGGAACATCGAAAATTACCATAGGCGATCTTCCACAAATCGCTGCCAAACATACAAAGGAAATGCAAATTGGGGATAAGTACTGCATTTCCATAAACCAAAGGCAGATTTTTACAGAAAATGGTAAGTTTATAAATATAAATAAGGTGATAAACAAGAAGAAATGATTTTAATGTCTTGCAGATAACAAAACAGCGAATGTAAAAGAACAGACGTCACCCTGTCAATTTTGCAAAATAGACATACACGGTATATTTTTTGAATTAGTTTAACGTACAGGTAACCCCGTATAGCACGGCACTTCTATAGCACGGATTCACTCTAACACAGTTCGGGAATTGGGTAAAACCCTCGTACAACATGAAATGTAATAAAGGGTGCATTCTTTTATACCTATGCGCGAGCATTCTAATTGTTTTCAGGGCTACTTTGAATGTTCTTTCAACAAATAATCCATTTGCTGGTTATATTTTACAATTGGGACTTTTCTTTTGCTTCTAAAAGCTCATTTTAGAATTATAGATTCCTGCATCGCGATACTATCGATAGTGTGGGCGCCACCATCTTTCTTTCACCATCGTTCCTAATTGCCTACAAATGTTTGCACACTCCCATACCAGAGCGACCGCTATTAACGAACGCACCCAAAAACTGTTACCAGTTGATGATGCTCATGCTGAGATCATCATATAGGATGAAAAATCCCCTGGTAAAATATTTACTTAAATAATAAATAAGTATTTTACCTGTGAAAAAATGAATAATAAATCCGATTTAAATAAAAATTTAACAGCATGTTTTTTTTAATTTTTGGAACCTAACCCCTTTTTTCGCATTAGTTCTTTGTTTCGCATAACACGGAAATTTTTGGAACGTAACTCCCGTGTAATACGGGGGTTACCTGTACTTCTACAATACGAAACTATACTGGTGTGCAAAACTTAAGCAACAATGTAATTTTTAAGCAGACAGCCATGAAATTGTAGAAAATGGCTTGTTGTGATCAGAACAATAAACACTCAACTCAGTAGAATCATTCGTATTCAAAAAAAAAGAGATCACAGATGACGTGAGGACACACAGAACATATGCAGTAAGCGCACTTAGTGCAAGATTATAAAAGAGACACTTTGATTCCACACTGTATGCATTGTATTCATTTCTGAGCTAGTATGCCTTCTTCATCCTTTAAGTATAAAATACTGTCTCTGTATTCTGAATTTCATGTCTTACAGCCGATTTTTGCAGGGGTTAAGGCAAAAAATAATTGTTGCTTAAGTTTTGCACACCAGTGTATTAAAAGCTATATTCTTAAATACTTGTATTTTTTTAGAATTATTAGAGAAATGTAATGGAAAACTTAGGAACAAGTATCGAACATTCAGTGCTTACATGGATTCTTCACTTTGGTACAGCGAAAAGACTGTTCCTTTAACCGATTATTATGTAGATTTGCTGCTGCATAAAACAGATCATTCTGGAAATCGAATCGAACAGATGATTAACCTCGAGGTGGTGTTGAAGGAAATTACTGATGAACATACAAATATTCTTGTGTATGGAGATCCGGGTTATGGTAAATCTACGTTGTGCAAGAAGATTGCATACGATTGGGCCGGTTATAATCGTGCATTACAACATTTTGACTCTGTTGTCGTCGTGACATTAAGAGATCTTCAGGAAAAAAGCATCGTCCATGCAATTCTGGAAGCCGTTTGTGGAAATCATGAAGTGGGAATGAAGAGAAAAATATGGAATGCCAAAGTAAACTTCTTGATCATTTTAGACGGTTTCGACGAATTCCCTGATAAAAATTCAGTAATTCAATTTATAAATGATGATTCTTTCGAGATTTCACGAAATATGACGATTCTTGTAACCAGTCGTCCCCAATCTGCAGAGAAAATAAAGATGGAATTTCACATGAAAGTTAATCTGATTGGATTTCGACGTGAACAACAACGTAAATATGTAAGCTTAGTTTTCAAATCGTCTGAAGATAAAGCATGCAGTCTTCAGTCTGTATTAAAAAAAAATGGTTTCCTTTTTCATTTATCAAAATGCCCATTAATGTTATATTTGCTGTGTTGTTTGCATAAATTAGAAAGATTAGAATGTACCAAAAGAAAAACAGATGTGTTTATTCTAATATTTGAATTCCTTATCAAGAAATATATGAGAGCTAATAGTGGATGTAACCATTTGAAGAAGGGAAAGTATTTTTATGGTGAAGATCTTTTAGTTAGATTGGGAAAACTAGTTTATGAGAAAAACCAAATTATGGACACAGTAAATCACTATAAAAGGGAAGAAAGAATTACCTTCGATAATTTAAAAGAATGTTTTCCAGATGAGATAGAACTTCAATTTATTCTTGGATTGAAATTTTTTATTTCATTCTGTAACCAAGATAAAAATATATATTTTCACTTTATTCATGTGAATTTCGAGACATTTCTCATCGCTCTTTATTTACATAAAAATACCGAAGAATCACGTTTCGATATTTTTATGCAAATAAATAGCTATTCGGCTAATTACTATACTACGATGTTTTATATGGGTCTGTTTGGAGATGAGAAAATTCCAGAATTTTTTAAAAATTACTTTGTGAAAGTTAAACATCTGCAACGTTTCGAAAATGAAATATGCAACGAAATTACCAATGCAGATAACGTCATCATGATTAAGGGCCAAAATTACGTTATACAAACAGCCATAAATTATGCATATGAATTCAAGAAAATTTTAATAATTAAGCAGGAACAAGCACAATGTATCTTCAATAATATAATGTTTATTGAATCTTGGTTGGTATTTGACAACGTTTGGAAACTTATTGAAGTTGCCAAACGACACATATTTCGCTTCTTATTCTGACGTTTATGCCTATAGGCCTTATTTTTATGTTAAATCATGTTGTTTTCAAAAATCAAAATTAGAACTCCTCACTCAATTATCTGCTTGTACTTATAATTTGCATTATTATTATTAGTCATCCTGTGGACAGGAAAGATAATTGCCTGGGGCCCCCATCAATAGGCGACTTCAAAGCAATCTTTCATAAATAAATATTTCTCCAAAAGCTTTCCCGAAAAAATTTTTGTAGTCAACACTGTACATGAGCCTCTAATTCAAATTCACTCGTGCCCCACTGTTATTGATACATATTTATTGTTACTGTTACTCACAATTACTAGTTTTCTGCATATTAGTAAAATTAAAACAGAGGACTTTCTTCTCTTTCACATTTTGGCAGATTCCTTAAATTTATATTATGGTTAAATCAAAGACAAGCTTAGGAGCTAAATGCAGGACATACGTGGCAACTTGCATGAATGTATGACAAGTGCATTGAGTGAGTACAAGACAAGCTCAAAGGAAAGGAGTGTTGATAAAACCAGATCGGACCCCAAGCAAATTTGAATTAGGGGTCTGAATGTACAGTATCGACTCAAACCTTTTTCTTCTGGGAAATTTTTGAGAAAATCTCCCCGATTCTTTTCTAATGCAATCTCCAGTGAGTTAAGTCCTGAGCCACACTGGCAGCCTAAAGTTGCTTATATATCCCAAATTTAAATTTCAATATTTTTAGTACAGTAATGAGTTTATGAAAGATTGGTTTAGATCTCCCTGTCAGTGCGATCTCTAGGCAATTGCCTTTTTTGCCTATAGGCTAATGCAGCATTGATAAGTATCATTGTTGGATTGCTATAATCAGCAAACTAATCACTCGACCATTGCCAAAACAGTTTTATGAAGGCATAAAGAGAATGATTTCAAGCTTAGACTCAGAAGATGCCACAGTTGTTTTAGAGAAAGAGCTATTGAACATGAATTAGCTTTCATCAAAGCAAATTTTGAATTTCTTGAAAATGCTATAGTAACAAAAGATAAAAGGATGCCATTGTGCATTACTGTCAGTTTGATCAAAAGTGTTGAATTGACTTCAGAATTCAAGGAGCTGTAAGTAAAAAGATGCACGAAAATTCGAATTTGTTCTAAATAAAGAGGACAGAACAATATTAAGAAGCCAGCCAAAATCTTAAGAAATGAAAAGATTTGACACTCAACCCTTTCACATGTGGAAAGAGCTTGATTCCTTGTTGATCCCTTTATTGCAGGCAACATCAAATTTTTCGCAGTATGCAGATCAAATTTTTGAAACTAAAAACTTGAAACAATATTTCTCATTGCAAATAGAGGATATTTTGTAATCAAACTAATATAAGGAAAAAAATAAAAATATGTTTGAGCTTATCAATTTCTATGAGAGTATTTTCTTGTTTTTAGGGAATATTTCTAGCTCTAATAGAATATTATAATGTATATATATAACATATAACACAGAAAGTATAGGTATGGTAAAAAAATCACCCCCAAGATTTCTGCATTTTTAGAATTGAGACTTCGAAATGTTGAGAAATGCAAAAATTGAACTTCTCTGTATTTATATTATTGTGTGTATGGATAGACACAATTTTCTTCATCCACTTTCAAGCTTAACTCCTGAGTTTTTGATAAATATTTTGACAGAAGTGTGTGTTAGTGGCATTAATGCTACTAAATTTTCATGGTTAAAAGTCAAAGGGTGGGGAGATAGAAGTCGTGTCACATAGTAATGCAGGACTTTCACAAAGTTTGTTTTGTTATTTAAGACAATGTGCCAACGGATACATCTAAGTAAAACTTTATAAAGGAAATTGCCGCTATTTACGTGTTAATGTCAGTCAGTCAGTCAAAATAATCTTTATTGTCTGGCACCGCTGAGCACAGCCAGGCAGAAATACAGAAAAATACATAGTAGATACATGCTTTTAGACATAGAAAGGATACAATAATATAATGGCAGAGAAAAGGGAAAATAAAATAAATAAATAAAATAAATGAAAATAAGAATAAAAATTAAATACTATTAAAGATTAAAAAATAAAAGAGTAAAAATAAGAGTACACTATAACTAAAGCAACATGTTAATGTGTGAAAAAAACCAAGAAAAACCCATGTGACCAGCTTATTGTTAAGATGCAAACCTACAATCAACTATCAGTTCTTTATTCATTCAGCCACTGATGGGCTGAGCACATAAAGAAGCCAATGTTAAGTATCCTTTGTTCATGCTCACTATACACAAGCTGCACTACTCATTGGCAGTCGTCATCCCCCTGCCGTTCCTCTTCGTCGCCCTTGTGCTCGGGAACATCGAAATAAGGCTCGTCGAGCAGCAGATGTTCATCCACGGGCACACCAATTGTCAGGAGTTGGAGACCCTGGCAACCGGGGCCTGGGTAGATGGCCACGATGTCCTCAATGAACTGTTGAAATTTTGCCGATGTTATTGGCAACTGAGACAAGAATTGCGTCCTGTACACATAGGTGCAGGTGTAACTTTGTAGGCTCCTGTCCGTGCGGAGTGACTTGATGGACTTCTTAAGCCAGCGATGTATACACTTAATGTTTTGAGTGTGGGCCTCAGGATCATCCGTGACGACGAATCTGCAAAACAAAAGAAAAAACAAAAATGTTTTAAAAATTGAATATATCTAAAACAAAAGCATTTATATAGATAGAGAGTGACATGAATTTTTACGAACAAAACAATTTAAAAAGAATCTCTCTCTCATTAAACAAACAAACTTACTATTATGAGCTAAAACAAAAGAAACACAAAGCTAAAACAAAGTAAGCTATTCTAAAGTACTGTTTACCAGTTAAAAACAGCTTGCTTATGAGGTTTATTTCATCTTAAAAGGTAAAAAAAGAATTAAATTACTCACCACAGATTGTTTTGTAGGTAAAAAGTTGTCTCGACGAATTGCAGATATCCATTTCTGCATAAAACTTCATCTGAAAAGAAACTAAAAGCACTAACTATTGGTCCTATTGCATAGTTCCTTTTGCAAGCTAGTACACAACACTTTCGAGGCATATCGTTTATCCTGAAAAAGCCTTACCTAGAAAGTTTAAATATACTAAATTAAATAATGAATCCAATTCGAAGAACAAAAACTGAAAAACAGCGTGTTCGGCAAAACGAGCTTGGAAATGGTCATTAGAAAGGACCGCTAGTAGTGACGTCACACGAGGTTTTTAAAAGCGTTTGGAAGCTTTATTCCTAGGTGGTGCTGGGGAGACTCGGCCCGCCAGCCGCATGCGAGGGGAAGAGGGTGGTGGCAACAGCGTAGATAGGGGGAAGGCGCGTGCTGGGGGCTAAGAAAGGAGAGCGCGCGCTATTTTTCGACACTGCAATGTGGCAAAAGCAAAAAAAAATTTTGGCCACGTGATGCCGTCCCTTTTGGGTGCGGAGTACGTCATATAAGTCATATCCGGTCACGTGACCGGATATGACGTAATCGCATCTCCGAAGGCCTATATCTCGCGAAAGGTCGCCCGTACGGGCATGGTCAATTTCACTTTTATGCTTTTATGCTACATTTTGGGGGAAGCGAAAATCGCGTCATTACGTCCTATATTTTAGCCTATAATAATTCGGAATTTAAATTTTTAAAAAGTTTGACGTCATAACGAACATCATTCTCCACGTGACACCTAATAGTCACGTGTTGACGTACAAGAGTGACGCTCTGTCACTACACAATCAATCAATATATACTTAATTAATGTTTGTGTAGGAGATTAATCACTATTGTTTACTTAGATTGCAGGTGTGACGCTATTCACAACTCGCGTCGTTATTTTACCATAGTAATCATTGGAAGATCCAACATCAGCATTTTACGTATTTCATTTGTTAAAAATAATTGTCACAACGGGCACGCGTTATCCCAGGACTTCTATGTAAGCTGTCGACAGTCCTGTTTGTATATTAAAAAAAAAAAAAAACACAAAACTCAGTTTTCTTGTATAAAAAGTTTCAGGCTGATGCAACAATTTTCAGAAATTTTATTTATAATTTTCTTATAACTTTATAAGTAAGTGCAAAAAATACATAAACTGTAGTTTTTAACGCAAAGCAATTGATATCCTGTTACATTAAACGTCCATTTTCTGGTAAAAACTGGCTCTAATTCGATTTACATTCTACTGAATACCTGCCATCGCCTACCAAGTAACTAACACAGATTCAAGTTGAAAGTAAAAGGATAATCTATACTTAAATGTAATTTGGTGAAACATTGCTCACTTTTATGTTGTTACACAATAGATTTTCACATCAATTATATTATTAAAACGAATATAAATTTAAATTTTCTATCGAAGGAAAGGTCAATTCTATGGTGCAGACCATAGATATATCATTTTTAATTAAATAGTTTATTGTTTACTACACTACAGACAAATCTATTGCTTGGATGATTTCGTGTAATTATTTTCCAATTCATGCAGTTATAAATCGGAAAATAACTTGATATAAGGCCGCAAACTTTCAAATAGATCCTTCTTTAAAAGTAAACAATCGTCTTTGGTGTCATCGTCTGTAGAAAATTTTAATCCAACCGACTCGCAAAATAATTGATTTGAATCCTGAATCATTATTTCTGAAGGATTTTCGACACAATTGAAAGCTTTAAGGAAATATGCAGGGAATGTATTTAGTCGACTTCCCTGTTGAATCTGATCAATAACAAAAGGCACTTGAGCTATTCCACATAAATAAATTTTAAATTTGTACCACTTATATTTTATCAATATATCTCGAATTTTCTCCATCTTTTTCCACTTATTATTTATTGTTCTGGTATCAAATTCTTCTCCTATTTTCATAAATATGTTCACCAGACAGAAATGCGGAACTCTATGGTGAAGTTTATTTAGACTTTCAAACATACCTTCGTAAAAATTGGAAGTCTTGCAAATGTCAACAATGAAGTATATTTCTGAAAAATCTGAGGGAATCGTCCACACAGAATAGTTGATACGTGAATTACAAAAGTATTCGTATTTTTTAACCGTGTTTGAAAATCTTTTCTTGACTTCTTCATTGACGATTTCGTTGTATATCATTATCGAAAGGTCCAACGAAAACACAATTTTTTCTAAATGTTTGAAGCAACTCTCTGGAATTTTTTCGTATGCAAACAAACCGAAGTAAAATATAAGAAAATTGCGATCAGTTGAAAACTCTGTAACAGATGGTACGATAGAATCGCTAGTGACAAAGACGAAAGGCACTTCAGGGTTCTTATACAAATATAGGGCGACGAGAAATTCTTTGATGGTCTCGTGTACAAAATTAAAGTATGGATTATCGTCAATGTCAAAGCAGTAAGTAAGAAAATCCAAATCACAATTAATAATGTTATTCTCATTTAATTCGTCGAATGTAAGTTTTTCTTTATTATCGAAGGGATAGAATCGCACTTTTTTAATGAAATTTTTCTCGTAAATTAACTTTCCTAATTTAACTAAAATTCCTTCGAATGGAAAATGCTTTCCTATCGGCACTTGGAAATTTTTCTCAAGTTTTCTCTTTGCTCTGTTTGTAATTAATTGCATTATATAAATATACAAATCTGTCTTTCTTTGTATATTTTCTAATCGATTACTTTTGTGCATACAACAAAGCATATGCAAGAATAACGGATATTTAGACAAAGATAAATAAAATTCATTTTCTAATAATATAAGGAATCTTTGTGTTTTATCAACATCTTGTTTGAATACCAACTTCGCGTATTCTTCCTTCTGTTCGGGTGAAAATCCTTTAAGATGAAATCGAAAATCCACGGATTCTCTTATTTGTTCTGCACAACGAGGACGACTAGTCACAATAATGGTCAATTTTGGAAAAATACCAAACGAATCATTTCTTAAAAAATCTTTGGTTCTATCACAATAGTTTAAATCTCTATCGTATTCATCTAAAATAATTAATACATTTAAATTTGCTTTTTGTATTGTATTTTTTATTTCTGGTTGTGAAATTCCACGAAATACTTCTAGAACTGCATCATCCAGTCTATTCCTATAAAGTTCGCTTAATGTTAAGACTGCAACAAAGTCAAAACGACTTAAGTAATTGTTTGAGGGATCATCGACGGCCCAATCGTACGCAATCTTCTTGCACAATGTAGTTTTGCCATAACCAGGTTCCCCGCATATAAGAATTCTCGTATGTCCATCATTCACTTCTTTAAAGATATCCTTGATATCAAGAATGTCACCAATTGGACTACCAAAATTATCTGTTTCTTGCAGTTTTAAATTAACGTAATAATCCTTTAGAGGAAAGTCTCTTCTCTTATTCTCCCATAATAAAGACCTCATATAACTGTTTTCTGTTTGGTAAAATTTCTTTAGTCGCTCTTTATTTTTTTGAAATCTTTCTGCACAATGTAGTTTTGCCAGAACCAGGATTCCCACATACAAAAATTCTCGTATGTCCATCATCGACTTCTTTAAATATATCCTTGATATCGAGAATTTCACCGATTGGACTACCAAAATTATCTGTTTTTTGCAGTTTTAAATTAACGTAATAATCGTTTAGAGGAAAATCTCTTCTCTTATTCTCCCATAAGAATGATCTCATATAACTGTATTCTGTTTTGTAAAATTTCTTCAGTCGGTCTTTATTNTATACAATAAAACCTAGAAATTTCGAATTTAAAGGAATCAAAAAATTTCCTGCTTAAGTTATGGAGAAAATATAAATAGTCTTGGAGTTACATGTAAAATTCAGGCTGTAATAATGATTTGGATAAGTGATTCATTACATAAATTATAAACAGGAAAATTTACGTGATTAGAAATAAATCTTTGTAATATAAATCGCATTGTCAGTTCATAAATGCATAATGGCTGCCGGGAAGGAAGCCATTATGAACTTTACATTAAACCGAAATATGAATAATTTATAAAAGCTAGATTTAGTTTTATGCTAAATTAGAAATTATAATAATCATGGTTTACTTATGCAGCTGTATTGATCCTATATTAAACAATAAACCAAAAATATTGTCACAGCTTAACACCTGTTGAGCTTTACTTCACAAGGAACTGCAGATCACAGGTATTACTGTATTTATTATCTATATTGTAGAATGAATCATACCTAATTCATTCCTATCAACCAATATTTGATTGAGTCCATCATATCCGGTTTTAGTAGATCCATAAACTTGTGACATGGTGAGATTTATTTGAACTAAAACTACAATACATCACAGTTAATGTAACTTTCATTGTTCAATATCTCAAACAATTGTTGAAGAATACGATACAGAAGCTTACCACTTTCAGCAGCAGTCTAAAGAATATGTTCTTTGCAGATTTCTCAGAAAGTTGTAGACTGTAAGACCAACTACAGCGGGTTGTTCAGTTGCCTGAGTGAAATGAATCTAAAATAAATGAATAAATACAATTCAAAAAGTTCTTATAACATTTGATTTGTTTTCATTCTCTACTGGACAGCCAGAAAACAGTATAAATTTTATAAAGAAGACTCGATAAATTGCAAAAAAAGTAATAAAATAATGCAAGTTTACAGTTGATTATATACTGCACTAGCTGTTACCCGCGACTTCGCCCGCGAGGATTTTGCAAGCAAACCCCATTTATATTCAGTATTTCAACAATCGCAGTAATCTATATATCTATATCTATATCTATAAAAATAAACATGTATGTCCTTGTATTTCACTTTTCCGCCAAAACTACACATCGCACGTGAATGGTGTTTGTATGTGGTGGTAGCCTCAAGTCTCCATTCGTGCATAGGGGTGGTTGCGTCTCGATAGCTATAAGGGTGCGGGAGATATGAGGCTGAAAGTGGTTGAAAATGGCTTTCTATTTCGAATGTTTTGTTCGAATTTGTTCGAATTTAATTCGAACATAAAATTCGAATATTGGTTCGATTATAGAACGATTGTAAACGTTC